GATATCAGTTTTACTAATAAAAATATGAAAACAAAAGGTAAAAAAAAAATTTGAATATTCGATAGTAGACGATGGCACTATTGGTGTCGACGTTGACGCAATTGCTTGGTCACATCCGACGATGATAAGGTCCGCTCTTATCGTGATGTCATCCTCCTTCACGAGAAACATGTCGTCGACCTCATCATTGTATGTCGCATCACTTTGTATTTATGTCGACATCGACACAATTGCAGAGTGATGCAGGAAAAGCGACGATGAGATTGGCGACGTACTCCTCATGGAGGCAAGTGATGTTGTGGTGACAGCGAAACTTATCCTCATAGGAGGTGGCTAGACAACTATGTCGGCATCAACACCAGTAGTACCGTCGTCCACCACCATCGACATCATCCACCACTGAATGTTAAAGTTATATTTTTATCTTTTGTTTTCATATTTTTATTAATAAAACTGACGTTATTATTTGAATAAATGAACCTAGATATTTTACTTTCGTAATTATAAAGATATTAATATAATTTTTTAAAGTATAGAGACTAAAACACTAAAAACAGCTAGAGTAATATATAATTAGCCGCATGAATAATATATAATTAGCCCTCTCCAAATTGACTTCACTTGTTCTAATCAGTACATGTCATCAACCATTAATGGGGGCACATTTAAGCTCACCCTAATGAGCCATTTACCTCGTTAGACCAATCCTTATCAAGATACTAATTTAAAGGATCATTGTAACCCCCATGTAATCTCATGTGCAGATAAACCAAGCCACGAATATAAAAGCTTCTACTTTGTGGGAAGACGCATATGGTTGACCTTTATCTGCTACAAACCCAGACGATCAACTAAGAGGCAGGGGGACGAAGGAGGAATGTGGTTCTCAGGACACGCCAACCCTTAGGGAGTGGGCCCAATTGGCTCGACCTAATGTGTCTCATTGCGTTGGACATGCTTTAACTAGCAAATTATATGATGCAATACTTCTTTCAGCTTCATAATCATGTAAATTATGTCTACGATGGGTGTGCTTGAAATGACCCTCCTCATAATTAACGAATCTCCTCGGTTTCAGCGTCTTAACTAGGCAAAACATGTATGTGCCTTCATAGCCATGGCATCTCCAATGCTAGCTAGATATATCCAATGCAAGTCTTTAATTGATTCCTATTTGATTCAAGTAGAAACCGATTTCTAATATGGGTTATAACTATTGAGTCCTCGTGATTCGTTATCAAAAATAAACTGTTCTTGATGGACTGCACGCGATCTAGTTTATTAGCAGGCACTCTCTGGTGTAGTTGTTTGACCATGGTGACACCTCTTTCTTCTTTATTGCTAGTCGTAAGCCACCGTCCTTCTTGCCCTTACTGCAGCCGTAAGCCACTGCCTTTCTTCTTTACGACAGGGAAGAGATTGGGGTTTTGTTTCCGTGCTACGATAATAATGCATGTACTGTTGTTTTTGTCTATGTGAATTGATCATGTAAGTGTCTGAATCAGTGGATCCGTATAATGGCATTACAGAGTCAACAATGTCGTCAAACAAAGTTGCTTTATGGCGACAGTGAACTCTATCAACTTGGCTTCACCGCCACGTACGCCTCTCCCCATTTTTAGCCATGGCATTCATGCCATCGTAGCCAATGGTCGGAGGGCCTTTGAGTCCACCACCACCCACCTACCTATAAATAAGAGCCGGAACTTTAACCGGTGCATGCACCGTAGAGTCTTTCTTTCCCTCCCCACCACCCCCCTCGTACTACAAGAGATTAGAGTGTCTTTGTTCCTTCGTGACTCACGCCAACATGAGCGAAGCTTCACTCTTAGCATCCCAACTCTGGTCTCCAATGCCTCGAGGTTAGTCCACCACATGACATTTCCATTCCTCGCAAAGGCTAACGTGATCTTTTCAGTAGGCGACACAAGGACGCGGCGGCGACGGCTGCGGCGGAGGAAGGTAAAGGGAGACGCGAAGAAGAGGCGGCTGAGTGACGAGCAAGTCAGGTTCCTGGAGATGAGCTTTAGGGACGAAAGGAAGCTGGCGTCGGGGAGGAAAGCCCACATCGCCGCCGAGCTCGGGCTCGACGGGAAGCAGGTGGCCGTCTGGTTTCAGAACCGGCGGGCGAGGCACAAGAACAAGCAGCTGGAGGAGGCCTACCTCAAGCTCAAGCTGGAACACGAAGCCGTCGTCGTCGAGAAATGCCACCTCGAGAACGAGGTTGGTCGATGCCTTCCTTCCTTGTAGAATGTACAGTAGTAGCCTTCGGCAAACCTGACATGGCAGTGATGCTGATGACAGGTGTTACGACTGAAGGAGAAGCTTTTGGAAGCCGAAGAGGAGATCAGGAAGCTCTCGTGGAGCGTGAATGGAGGCAACCTCGGCTCGTCCTTCTCAGCCGTGAGCCAGCAGCCATTACATGGAGAGTTCGGAACGGAAGCAGAAGCTGAACTTACTTACATGGACGAGTATGACTTGTACAACTACACGATGGAGTGGACTAATCCATATGGCATATAAAGATCATTGCAATCACTGTCATTCATATATGTGATTAATCCTCGTAGATTCAACAACGTGAATCTCTAGTTGTAAATTAAGATTGATGTAGCAATTGATGTAGCATGTGCAAAAAGGGGGATAATGCTGCAACTATTTAGTTCTGTAAAGCCTTATTATTATCCAGAAAGTCACAAAGTAGGTGTTTGATCTCCCAAGAACATGAGAGAGACATGAGAAATGGCAGGACTTTCTATGAAGAGGGTTGAAAGAGAGGGAAGAACGAACCAAAAGCTGCTCATGGTTGTCACTTTCTTACAGCTTTTGAGGAGTCCTTGTGGTGGCAGTGGTGGTGTGAAAACCCAACCCTGCTGCTTGTCTCTGCTGTTGTAATGTCCATTGTCCATTATGTTTCTTCCTCTACCCTGCATCTCATGGACCAAATCCCTCTCATATGAAAGTAGAAAGCAAGTTCATGGGAACAATGCCATGTAGTGAGTGAATTCAACTTACCAGTTTGATCCTATTAGAAATCATGAGTAAAGATTCAAAAGCAAACTTATCCATCCTATCTTTAAACAACAGCTTGTATGATTACCTCAACAAAAACAAAAAACCCTCATAAATTAAAATAGAATCATGTTTAAAATGACAGATTGCTTACTGCCAAATGCTGAAAAAGCTATAAATTCAATTGATAAAATGAACAGAGAGAACGAAAATCCTACAAACCAAGCGATAAAGAGGTGACTACCTAAAGAGCTAAGTGCAAGCAGATGATATCGAATGTCATAACTTCAGGATAATCAGAAAGAATAAAAATAACATAATGGAAACAACAGATTGGTGCAATAAAGTGTCGTCAGAAGTTAAAAGATGATATCCTCGCCGTTGCAAGAAATTCAGATTATGTCATAGAGCTGGAAAAGATTATTAAAAAATGCTATAAAATTCATCAAGCATATTCTTCGAAACAGCTCTCCAAAAATGAATCAACATATGGAATGGTAACACAGCAAGAGTGAATAGATCAACAGATTCAATGGCATCTTGACTTGTCCTTGCAGAAGTGTACTAAGTCAGAGCATTTTGCTTGTTCAGTACTGACATCTACAAAGATCCTGACCTATTTTCGCAACACAGAATACTTGTATCTTATTTTTCATCAACATATTGCATAAGTCAGAAATTCATCATCTTAATCCCCATTTGTCGTGCCACAACTCAAGCAAATGACAGGAACCATTCATGATTTCAATTTATTGAAGTTCAGTATTTTTGAAGAATTAATAAATATTAAGCAATGAATAAATTGTTAGTAATACAACATGAAAGCTAATCAAGCTTTAGTATTTCAGAGAAAAGGGAGGTATGCAGTACCCAAAATTTGGGCATTGTAGTGACAAGATAATACAAGAAATCTCAGCTAATGTAAGCTACAGAAGTCTCTGTTCAAATGTGCAACCTAACAAATAACAGAAAGCATCATACCTTCATTTAGTATTGACATCAAACGAACATTCTGCCGCAGAATTCTCATTGATGATGAACTTATGTAACAAGGCCAAAGCTCACATCACATCCATCTTCCTATATTATGGTCAACACTCGTGACAAGCTTTTCCACCAAAAAAAAAAAAGGAGCTCAGAACTGTAACTCCTTTCTCGATCAACACCTTTCTCGGTCAACAGATGATGATATTTTCAGGTTTCCTACAAAGGAATGACATTAGACCTTCTTAACTCCCAGTGTGAAAGGCACCCTCTAAAACGAGATGTCAAGAAAAGAGAAGAAATAGTGAACTGCCTCTGGCACATAGAAATCGAGGATAGACAACTGAAAGCAGTTCTCAGCTGCCTCCTCTCTCCATCCTCGGATTGGAAATCTGGGTCATGCTGAACAGCAGTTATCAGGCAGTCAGCATTTGCAAAGGGAACCTGCAGAGAAGCATATTGCCATAGCATTTGATATGTCCAGGAAGATCAATAGCCAAATTAGAATAAGAAAAAACTACACAAAATGATCAAAGTTGAAGTGATACACTGCTTGCCACAAACAAATGGAAAAGGATATTTCACTCATCTTGGTTATAATGCCGGTGAACAGTGCCCTTAGGGAGGAGGTTGAAGCTCAATCCATACAGACAATCAAAATTTGCTTCTCCATAACATTTAACTAGAAGACACCATAACCAAAATAAAAAAGAAAGAGAACTAATGTACATTGTTCATGTTTCATAATGCATTCAAATACTTGCTGGCAATCATCTGACTCGATGTCTACCAAATTGCAATCAAGAAGAAAGAGAACTAATAGAACAAATGCTAAGTAAGACCAAACAAATCTTAACACATGTCCATCTTCTTCATCACCAGAGATTAACATTCAAGAGAATAAATTTCTCTAAAGATGTATCTAGAGATAATTGCCTAGTGTCCCAGCACCCAATAGAATCCAGTTATTCTATTCTTACAAAACTTGGTAATTTTAAAATCTCCCACGTGCATCCAAAAATATATGAAGGTCAAGCCAACCATAAATCTGAACTCTAGGTTACAGAACAAGCACCGATATTTCAGACCTTGCTATAAATACATTGGCAAGAAACTGAAACAATAATGATCGGATCAACATTTTCCTCTCTATATTTGAAGTGGCTTCTAATACTTTTTTTTATGATAATATCATTGATGTAAAAAAATATAGTCATGAAGTGGTTATCAATATTTTGAGTTGTGCAACAGGAACATCAGATGCAGGAAAACTGCAGAACTACTTCATGATCACCAGAATACAATTCTTCCAGAAACTACAGTTGTTCATGCTTTAAACAAAAAGAAGCATACAAGTTGGTTCACCCATTTTGGAATCGGAGTTACCGGTCATCTTATGACAGATTTCTTTGCAGAAATGGTTGCAGTTCTTCATGATCAAGTGGTAGGTGTCTCCACTGTAATTAACGGACTGAAGTTCCATAAACTCTCTAACCTGCAATGAGTCCAAGCATGTCGTACCCATGAATATTGATTTCTTAAACATGAAGCCTGGACACTGACGAGGCTCAACCTCAAAGACTCCGCTACTCGGATAGTCATGTGCTCCAAATACATATTCCACCCCATGAACTGGAAGAACCAATAAAGAGCATCAAAATTTATAAATGCCTGACAGAAAAATGCTATTATCTAAAGAACTTTAAGACAAACTCAAGAAATCAAGGATATTTCTGGCCCTACAATATTGACTTGGAGGCAGCAATCCAACCAGCATGTAAGGAATGTACAGAAGTACCGAAGCATCAACTTGCCTGACAACTATTAGGATTTGGATTAAGTATGAATTTTTCTTAATAAATTTTCATGTCCAAAAAAGAAATCCAGGAACTAGTTAAACAAAAATCTATGCAGGTGGATAGATGACATATTTGGTTGCAAGAATTTTCACCATTCATGTTTCAAACAACAAATTCAGCATAGAGAAGCACATTAAAATGATGTCTTACCATTGATGTATCTATTTAATGCATCCTTTATCTAAACCAAAAAGGCAACAGCAAAGAATACCTTCAACACCGGTGTGAAATATCCCAAGGCCTGCCCAGTACATAAAACCATTCATTGGTGGCAAGTCATATACATTCAGATAAACTAGTGCATTTCCTGGTGTATGGCTGGCAGACCAAACCTTTGGAAACATACAAAAATGGCTGCAAGATCTCCTGTCTAGCCAAAGAAGCATGAGGGAATTTCAACCCTTCTTCGAACCTGACCTCATATTTCTTCAGATGAAGAATAAAGAGGGAAAATTTTATGCGATTTAAAGTATTCTGACAGAGATCTAATGAGAAGAATCATCAACAAATTTCTCCAGGCTTGTGTTATTATCACTTGAATGCAAGAGCGGCAACTAATATTGCCAAGAGCAAAGGAAACCTAAGAAAACAAGGAAGACATAATCATACCATGATAAAACCTCACTTAAAGAAGAATGCTTTTCAGACTGAAACTACGATGAAGAATTAATGCCAAAATGTTGGTGCAATTCATCAAGAAATGAGGCATTTCAGGAAGAAAAAAATTCAAAGAACATGTCATCGAATTTCTTGAGCTAAGAAGCAAGAAAAGTGCATGTCATCACATTAAAACAATCAGATCTTGCCAGCTTACGAGAGGAAGTCCTCATTTGCGGGATGAAACAGGATGAGTCTGAAAACAAGATAAAAGGAATAACCAAAGAAAACTCGAGGAATCAAAAGACTTAAATCAAATTGAAAGAAGAGTGACGACTGGCCAGTGATTAGCCGCAATACTGAGCATTGGCAAACTCGAGCACTTGAACAAAATACGCGACTTTAGAAACAAGTAAAAACCAGGGATATGACCCTGATTTGTAAGATTCGGAGATCTAAGTAGCATAAGGAACCCATTTGAGAAGTGAACTAGATGCACATTGCCAAGAAAAAGTTTGGGATACAGTTCTTGACAGAAAATTCGAAGCACACACGAACAGATTGTATTTCACAGCCAGTGCATCTACATTTCCTAAAGGGGGGTTTGAAAATAAGATGCTTTCATGAAAAAAATGGTGCTTCTTCCACTATTGCCTCACACGAAAATCTAGATTGCCGTAAGGTCACGAGAACCCTTCTCACATCAGAGTGGTGGCAAAGAACATGAAAGAAAATTCCAAAATTGAGCTGGACTCGTCCAATACCCATCGGAAAAAGGAATTTTTCCATGAATTCCACCAACATATTTAACAGATAGCAATCAAACGAGCTTGCAAGAACCAAAATTGCAAGCGAAAACTCCCAAGAAAAGAGAAATCCCGCAAGAGAGGAGGAACAAACAGAGAACAAAGAGACCGACTTATCCTCCTCCGGAGAAACCCCCGAATCAGGTTATTGGCCGCCACAATCAGCAAGGAGAGGCGCCATGTTGAGGTCCCGAGGAATGGGTGGGGGGAGACCGGAGGGGCCTCGAAAGAGTCGAAGTGGGGGGAGAGATACGTTGGAATTAAACTGGTTGAGAGATACATTAAACAGGTTTAAGGTATCATAAAGAGATTTATTATATTTAAGAGAGAGGTTACATTCAAGAGAAGAAACACATTTGGATAAATTAAATTAACTATTGATTTGATTTTTTTTGGAAATGAATGATTTATTTTCAATACATAATCTATTTTTTTGAAGACTATATAAATATCATTGGGTTATGAAATATATAGAGTTTTTAAAGTTATAAATAATTTTGAGGGAAACATGAAATATTTTGTCCTTGTACTACTCTTACTCTTTCATCCTGTGATAGTTTTTTTTTTTTTAATTATTTGATATCAAAGCTTAGGTTAAGCATGACCTCTTCTTTAAACATTATTCAACTTCGTATATTTCGTTTGACAAAAGAAAATTATAATATATGTTGTATCTAAATGAAGATTCTTTTGGACTCTCAATATGTATTAGACTTTGTAGAAGATAAATTTGCTGAACCAAGTCTAAAAGGAGTAATGAATATGGAAGCACGAAAACAATTCAAAGATAGAATGAAGAAAGTGGAAAAAGTTTTATTCACGATTTACCAAGAGCTTGATGACATAATATTCGAGATTGTCACTTCAGCAAATACTTCAAAAGAGACTTGAGAAATATTTTAAAAAATATTCGGTAGTGTGGATAAGGTAAAAAATCTTTGCCTATAAGTTTTATGAGGTGAGTTTGAAAAATTATATTAAAGTACTTCTCAAAGATAATTTCTATTGTTCATCAAATGAGACGAAATAGTAAACAAATCAGTAATTAAATAATAATAATAAAATATTAAAATCTTTAGATCTAAAATTTAATTTTATTGTTATAGTGATTGAAGAGTTTAAATATTTGGAATAAATATCTTTAAAATGACTTATAAGTTCTCTTCAAGTTCATGAACAAATTATTACAAAAAGAGAAGAAAAAACTATAGAGCAAGTATTATAAATCAAGCTTACTCTTGATAACAAAGGTGAATCAAGATCTCAAAGAGAAGAGGTCGTCGACAAAAAGAAAAAGGCGGCAGAAATCAAACCAATCAAGAATCTTAAAATAATGAAGGTGATAGAAAAATTTTAGTTAAAGAGTTCGAGGTTATGGTAAAAGCCATGGATATGGTAGAAATTTTAAAGGATAAGAAATATAATGCTATGTTTGCAAAAGGTATAGACACTACTTTGAATGTTATTATAATCCCAGTAATCAAGGTGACAAGGTAAATTTTGTTGAAAAATAAAAGAATGAAAATCAAGTTTTGTTAATGACTTATGATAATTTGAAAGAATATCAGTTTATGACATGATATATAGATAGAGGAGCTTCAAATTATATTTGTTGTATCAAAAAAATAATTTTTTAAAATGGATATAAGTTATTCCGAGAACATTACATTTGGTGATCTATCTCAAAGTCCAACAAAAGGTACAGGCAAAATTTTTCTTCGATTCAATAATGGTAAAGAATTATATATTTCAAATGTTGATTATGTTCCTAATATGAAAAATAATATTCTAAGTTTGAGATAATTACTTAAAAAATATTATGATATTGAGATGAAAGATATAACTATTTTAATTCGTTATAATAATAAAATATTAATCTCACATGTAAAAACGATGAAGAATAGAATGTTTCCTTTGTATTTGTATATTTTTGATCGATCAAATTATTTTAAAACTGATATTGAGGATATTTCTATATTATGATATCCTAGATATACATATTTAAATTTTGAGGCTTTAAAACTTTATTAAAGTATAATATGGTAATAGGAATGTTGATTGTTCACCAAAATTATGTGAAGTATGTGTTATAGGCAAGTAAGAACAAAGGTCTTTCAAAGTCAAAAGAACAAAAAAACATGATATTAACTTGATCTGGTGCACTTAGTCTAATATCACTTAGAGAAAGCATGTATTTTCTTATCTTCGCCGATCATAGTGATATAACTTAAGTTTATATGTTAAAAGAAAATAAAAAATTTTTAAGTAAATTTAAAAATTTAAGAATTTAGTTAAAAGATAAAGTGGTTGTAAGACTAAATATTTAAGAATAGATAGAGATGATAAATACATATCAAATAAATTTAAAAGTTTTTTAAGAAATAATAAAAAATTTAATAATATTTAAAGATTAAATCAATTCACCATATCATACACACCTCAACCAAATGGTTTCTCAGAAAGAAAAAATAGGATTATAATTAATATAGTCTAATACATGTTAAAAGAAAGAAGAATTCAAAATTGAGATGTTGTTTGTATAGTTTATTTGCTTAACGGATCAACAAAATAAATTGATAATGTTACACCACATTAAAGAAATCAAAAGTCAATCATTTGAGAATTTTTGAAAGTGTTGTATTTGCTAAGATACTTGAAGAAAATTGAATAAAACTTAAGGATAAAAGTTAAAAATACATCTTGTTAGGTTATGCTGAGAATTCCAGTAGCTACAAACTCTATAATCCTATCACAAACAAAGTTATGATGTTAAGAGATGTTGAGTTTGATGAACAATATATTTGGAACTGGAAAAGTAACGAGTAGCATAGAAAGTTATAACTTTATAAGATGATGATATAATACAAACAAGTAGTCCTTGCTTGAATCATCACCTATATCAATTAGATCACATGATTCAAGAAGTTTGATTGTAAGAAGAACAGTACCAATTCATGAGCTATATGATATGACCCGAAGGATTAATACTAATAATGATGATTTTTTTATTTTATCTTTTTTACAAGATATGATATATTAATCTTCAAAAAAGCTTATAGAGAAGATAAATTGTGATAAGCTATGAATGAGAAAAACAAAAATAAAAAAAAATACAAAAGGAGCAGTGGAGAAATATAAGGCATTAGTTGCAAAAGGATATAAATAATAATATGGGATCAATTATGAAGAAGTATTCATACCAATTGCTTGATTGTAGACAATAAGATTACTTATTTCCCCGGTAGCTCAAATGAAATGAAAATTTTTATAAATAAATATCAAATTAGCATTTCTTAATAGAGATTTTGAAGAAGATATATATGATTTTATTATTCATGAATAAGAAGATAAGGTATATAAGTTAAAGAGAGCTATTTATGGACTTAAACGAGCCTTGCGAGCATAGAATTCTCGAATAGATGCTTATTTTATTCAAAATAAAATTTTTAAATCTCCATATAAATATGCTCTCTATACAAAATTTAACTATGATGGAGATATTTTATTTGTATGCCTATATATATATGATTTTATTTTTACAAGCAATAATAGCTCCATAATTAAATATTTTAAGTACTCTATGAAGAAGGAGTTTAAGATGACTGACTTGAGCCTAATGACTTATTTCCTTGATATTGAAGTTATACAAGACAATAAAGAAATTTCTCTCTTACAAGAAAATTATACAAAGAATGTACTTTTTGTATGAAAGATTATCATCCTACAATTATACGAAGGAGGTACTTCTTGAAAAATTATACAATAATTTTTTATGAAAGATTGTCATCCTACATATACACCCGTGGAAGATGATACTAAGTTGACTAAGGAAGATAAAGGTAAAAACATTAATCCAACTTATTATAAAAGTTTAGTTAGATGTTTATGGTATTTGACATGCATTCGACTTGATATATTATTTGGAGTTGGTTTAATAAATAAATACATGAAAGCTTATAAGACATCTCATTTAAATAACGTAAAAAGAATTTTATAATATATTAAAGGAATAATTGAATATGTAATGCATTATTCATCATTTAAAATGTTGGAGCTCATTGGATATAATGATAGTCTTTGGGCAGGAAGTTATAATGATCAGAGTACAACTGGATTTGTATTTTATTTTAGTAAAACTTTATTCATATGGTCTTCACAAAAACAATATATCATTACTCTATCAAGTTGTAAAGTAGAATATATAACAGCATCTTCTTATATTTGTCATGCAATATGACTAAGAATATTACTTAAGGAACTTTATATATTATAAGAGAAGTCAATCAAGATTTATGTTGATAACAAATCAACTATTGTCTTGGCCAAGAATTCAATCTATCATAAAAGATCGAAGCATATCAATACAAAATTTTATTTTATAAGAGATCATGTCAAAGACAAAAAAGTTAAACTGCTTCATCTTAAAACAAGTGAATAAGTAGTCAATATACTCACAAAATCTTTTAAGTTTGAAATATTTCAACAACTTAAATAAAAACTTAACATACTAGATGGAACAAATTTAAGGAAAAAGAATATTAAAATTTAACTTATTAAGGTAACATAAAGGACAAACTAAATTAACTATTGATTCTTAAATATTTTAAATATATATATATATATTGAGTATAATTAATGTTATGTATCTTTGAAAGAAATATAAAATATTTGTCCGTTCTTACTCTTTCCTTATCATATAGTTTTATTTTTTCATCCTATCTATTTTCAACAAGATTACTCCCCCGATTTTATATTGACTTTAAAGGATACCCTCATCTACATATGAGAGAGAGAGAGAGAGAGGGCGCGCTTCGGTCTTGTCTGCGTGGCTGTTGTAGCACGCGAACTATATGGAAGAGTCAGCTTATGCTCTTTTATCACTTTTCTATTGATAAATAAAGTGTTGAGGGAAAAGGTGATAAGAAATGTCACTTCCGAAAAAGATTAAAACAAGTTCCAAATTTTGCCATTCCTTCTATTTTAATATTTTTACTGGACTTATGATAGCATTACCGGATTATATTGGTAATGATGGCATTATATATATATCTTTTTATTTTATTTCGTGAAATACTTTTTTTTTTTCTAAACGGTTAGATTATTTTGATCTTTATCTTATCAATTATCATCTCCATCTTGTCAATATCATCCCATCTTATTATGTTGCATATCATAAGGTTTCATTGTGAAGCCTTTGTCGTCATCCTTATCATATTCATCCCACCGTAAAATCTTACTAGAGCCCTCTTTA